AACTGTTGCCTCCGTGCCTGGTAAGGGCTAAGTACCTGTTCAGCTTTTACTTTAGTAGTGAAAATTTTTGTTCCCAGTTTAGGCCACTGAAGAAGCACTTATGATTGGACTTTCACTTTACTCACTTTAGAAATGTAGGTATGGTCATCTGCATTGAGTCATGAAGATTAAATAATATAATGCCTATAAAATGCTTAGCAAAGAGCCCATCACATTAAAGGTGCTCAATAAATGTAAGCTTTTAGTATTATTTAATTCTTGCTTTCTTGCGTCCGTCCTTCCTGCACTTCCTAAATTCCTGTTCAAGAGCTGGGTTGACCCTGGGGAACTCACTGGCTGTCTTGGCCTACCAGGAGCGGTTTTTTTTTTTTTTTTGAGATGAAGTCTCCTGTAGCCCAGGCTGGAGTGCAGTGGCATGATCTTGGCTCACTGCAACCTCTGCCTCCTGGGTCCCGGTTCAAGCAATTCTACCTCAGCCGGGTAGCTGGGATTACAGGCACAAGCCACCATGCCCCGCTAATTTTTGTGTTTTTTTAGTAGAGATGGGGTTTGACCATGTTGGCCAGTCTGGTCTTGAACTACTGACTCCGTGATCTGCCCTCCTCGGCTTCCTAAAGTGTTGGGATTACAGGCGTGAGCCACCTTTCCCAGCCAGGAGCATTTGTTTAGGCCAGTTACATGAGAGGTTTGTGAGAATTGAGTGTATTTTACAGTTCATCCTCTCTTAGAATTTTTTTTTTTTTTTTTTTTTTTTTGAGAAGAGCCAGCCTTTTGAGAGAGCATATGATTCTCTTGGACTACAACAGCTTCTTGTGTGAATCAGCCCTGCTCTTGCCAGTTAGTCTGAGTAGATAACTACCCACCCCCACCCCTCCAAGCTGATAATTATTGCCCTGGTTTATCCTCTGTCTCATTTCCCTTCTCAAACTCTTACAGGATGAATAGTGAATACTGTGGTTCAGTGCTCTATGGATGGATACGTAACAACAGTAATATTTAGAACCAATGTCTCATTGGCTGTAGCTTGCTTTAGGTATTCAGTCTTCACCCTAGGACTATGTTTAGCATAATGCCTAACGTGGTATTAAACTATAGCCTTAAGATTTGTGTATTTTTGGTTTCCTCTCCTTCCTCTATTTCCTGTCCTTTTTGGGTTATGGGTCAGTTGGGTTTTACTTTTTGTTCCCATTTCAGACTATGGGAGAGCTTCTAAAAATACCAATGTCCAGCCCTGTCCCTAGGATCTAGTTAATTTAAAAATACCGGTGTCCAGTCCTGTCCCTGGGATCTAGTTAATTTTATTTATTTATTTTTATTTATTATTATTTTTTGAGACGGAGTTTCACTCATGTTACCCAGGCTGGAGTGCAATGGCGCGATCTCGGCTCACCGCAACCTCCGCCTCCCGGGTTGGGCAATTCTCCTGCCTCAGCCTTCTGAGTAACTGGGATTACAGGCACGCGCCACCATGCCCAGCTAATTTTTTGTATTTTTAGTAGAGACGGGGTTTCACCATGTTGACCAGGATGGTCTCGATCTCTTGACCTCGGGATCCACCCGCCTCGGCCTCCCAAAGTGCTGGGATTACAGGCTTGAGCCACCGCGCCCGGCCCGATCTAGTTAATTTTAAAAGCTCTCCATATGATTCAAATTTGCGTATGTTTCTGTAAGTTTGCGGTATCTCCATGTGTTTTCGGATCTTCTGAGGGAGCACTTCTTGTACTTATATTCTTTTCTAATAATCCTTGGTCTTTCCTTTACCTGTACCTTTTTAAAAATCCCCTTTTTAGTCTTAATTTTGATAGCTGCTGGAGTTTGGAGCTCTGGAAGCAAAAGTGGGGTAGGATGCTAAGAAGGGGGAATTGTAGGCTTGATGGAAGAAGATGTTTCTATATTAAATGTCATGCCAGATCCAGCTCTAGGCATACCTTTAAAATGTATATGCAGGCTGGGTGCGGTGTCTCACTCCTCTAATCCCAGCACTTTGGGAGGCCCAGGCAGGCACATCACTTGAGGTCAGGAGTTTGAGACCACCCTGGCCAACACAGTGAAACCCTGTCTCTATTAAAAACACAAAAATTAGTGGGATGTGGTAGCACACACCTGTAATCCCAGCTGTTCTGGAGTTCGAGGCAGGAGAATTGCTTGAACCTGGGAGGCAGAGGTTGTAGTGACCAGAGATCACACCACTGCACTCCATCCTGGAAGACAGAGTAAGACTCTGTCTGAAAAAAAAAAAAAAAAAAAAAAAAAAGAAAAAAGAAAAAAAAAAAAGAATATGTGCCGGTGGGCTTTCTCACTTCAAGATTTCTGAATTCCTTCTAAGTGCTTTTCGCACTGTGGTCTCTTCCTTAGTGTACTTGTCTGTACTTCTCTCCTGACATCCTTTGATACCTTTAGAAGTTTAGATTCTAGAATTGTTTACTTGGAATGCAGTTACATTCCATTCTAAACTTTGTTTCCCTCTGGTTTATAAAAGCATTGGTGGGTTGTGAATTGTGACCAACATTATTAAAAAAAAAAAAAAGAATGTGATAATAAACTCTATCCCATTTGTATGGGCTGTTTCTAAGTCAAGCAGTGGCTGCTAGCTGGTAATCTTTCTCTTTGGATTCTTTTTTATTTTTTTTGAGTTTAAGTGTGGAGGTTTAATACATAAAAAAGAGAATAGCTCTCTCTTCTGCAGAGAGAGTAGGGTGCTCCAGTGGGTTTTCCCTTTGGATTCCTTTTTGGGGACAGAGTCTCACTCTGGGTTGGAGTACAGTCACAGCCCACAGCAGCCCTGGCCTCCTTTGGCTCAGGTGATTTTCCTGCCTTGGCCTCCCAAGGAGCTGGGACCACAGGTGCGTATCACCCCACCTGTCTAATTTTTCTGTTTTTGGTAGAAATGAGTTTGCACCATGTTGCTCAGGCTGGTCTTTAATTCCTGGGCTCACCTAGACCTCCCAAAGTGCTGGAATTAAAGATGTGAGCCCCATTGTACCTGGCCTTCACTTTGGATTTTGTTAGGAAGGAAAATTGTGCATGGTGACCATTTTGGAGAAAAATACCAAAGTAGATTTATATTTATTGAGTGCTTACTCTGAGTAAGGGACTGTTTTAAGATAGATACACACACACACACACACACACACACACACACAGAGAGAGAGAGAGAGAGAGAGAGAGAGAGAGAGAGAGATTTTTGAGACAGTTTCATTCCTACCGCCCACACCAGAGTGCAATGGCGCAATCTTGGTTCACTGCAACCCCCACCCTCCAGGCTTAAGCAGTTCTGCCTTCACTTCCTAGTAGCTGGGACTACAGGCACGTGCCACTGCACTCAGCTGATTTTTGTATTTTTTGTAGAGATGGGGTTTCGCCGTGTTGCCCAGGCTGGTCTCGATCTCCTGAGTTCATCTCGTTCATCTCCTGAGCTCAAATGATTCCCCTGCCTTGCCCTCCCAAAGTGCTGGGATTACAGGCATGAGCTGCCATGTCTGGCTATATGTGTCAAGTTAGTAGGTGAAATTATTGAGATATTGTTTCAGTGAAAACTAAGTTGAATGCTTTAGGAAGACTAAATTACAGCTAGAATGTGTAGTGCCTCCTGTGAATCCAGAACTTGATCTGATTCCTCTTTGTATGTGTTAGTTTGTGTGATTCTCGTAACTCCTGAGGTAGATATGTTTGTCTCTATTCGCTAGATGAGAAAATTGAGCCACAAGGAGAGTAAATGGTAGAATTGAGATTCAAACACTGGCAGTTTGACTCCAGGATTAATGAAGTATCTTGTGAAAAGTTGCTGTCAAATTGTTGGGTAAGAGGAAACCGTAGCCAGGTGCAGTGGCTTGTGCTTGTAATAGCACTTTGGGAGGCTGAGGCTGGCAGATCACTTGAGGCCAGGAGTTTGCGACCAGCCTGGCCAACATGATGAAACCCCATGTCTACTAAAAATACAAAAATTAGCTGGATGTGGTTGTGCACGCCTATAATCCCAGCCACTAGAGAGGCTGAGGCAGAGAATCGCTTGAACCTGGGAGGCGGAAGTTGCAGTGTGCTGAGATCGCGTGACCCCCTCCAGCCTGGGCAACAGAGTAAGACTGTCTCCCCAACCTCCTGCCCAAGAAAAGACCAACAACAACAAAATGAGAAAACTGTAGACGAGACTAGGGAAATAGTAAAAATAGTAAATAATTATAGTAAAATAAGTAAAAAAAAGACTCAAAATCATAGTGCATTGTGGGTGTGATTGATGCCAGACACATTCTGCTGTTCAAAAGGTCATGACTCTACATCAAAAGATTCTAGTTAAAATGTTGCCCTGAAGTAATGCTCATGGGGATGGTGTAAGAAACATGGGTAAAGGTGGGTAGGTGGGAGATACTGGAGGCCTCAGAACCTCACCTTTGCACAGTTTGTCTTCCACTGCCACAGACGAACTTTGGGTTTGGCCACAGTTTTTGAAGATTTGTGCTTTGCTTCAATTTTTTTTTTTTTTGTTCTAAACTTTGGTCCCAGGCAGGGTTTGCATGAGAATCACTTGGAGAATTTTAAAAGAGAAACTCCCTGTCTGATTGGATTTAGGAGCCATGTAGTAGGTTTGAGGAATTGTCCAAAGCTCTGGGTGGGTCTGTGGCATAGCTATGCTTGAGAGCTATTGAGTATATCTGCCTCGGGGGAAACAGTTCTTGAGTGTGCTGGGTGTTGACAAACTTTTTTTTTTTTTTTTTGAGACGGGGTTTCACTCTTGTTACCCAGGCTGGAGTGCAATGGCGCGATCTCGGCTCACCGCAACCTCCGCCTCCTGGGTTCAGGCAATTCTCCTGCCTCAGCCTCCTGAGTAGCTGGGATTACAGGCACGCGCCACCATGCCCAGCTAATTTTTTGTATTTTTAGTAGAGACAGGGTTTCACCATGTTGACCAGGATGGTCTTGATCTCTTGACCTCGGGATCCACCCGCCTCGGCCTCCCAAAGTGCTGGGATTACAGGCGTGAGCCACCGCGCCCGGCCTCAAACTTTTTTTTTTTTTGAGATGGAATCTCACTCTGTCACCCAGGCTGGAGTGCAGTGGCTCAGTCTCGGCTCACTGAAACCTCCGCCTCCCAGGTTCAAGCGATTCTCCTGCCTCAGCCTCCCAAGTAGCTGGGATTACAGATGTGTGCTACCACACCCAGCAAATTTTTGTATTTTCAGTAGAGATGGGGTTTTACCATCTTGGCCAGTCTGGTCTTGAACTCCTGACCTCATGATCCACCCGGTTTGGCCTCCTAAAGTACTGGGATTACAGGCCTGAGCCACTGCCTGGCCCTGACAATCTTAAATGGGTAATGTGTTTTCCATTTAGATGCAGGTTGACATTCAAATAGAGGCAATATATGACTGGTAAATTGTAATTTTGAAGGAAAACAGTGATCAAACTTGCACTGTTTTCTTTCTTTCCTTTGCTTAAAAAAAATGTCTGTTCCCTCTGAATCTAGCTTTATATAGTCGCTTAAGTCCTTAAATTCTCTTGCTAAAAATCACCTGGGGTAATTGTTCAACACATTCCCAGACTTCTTGCTTGGAAGTTCAAATGTTCAGCCATTCTAGGTTGTATCTAAGAATCTGTACATTAAAAAGCAACCTGAGTTGATTCTTATACCGAGGCAGGTTTGGGAATAAGGTCAGTGTGGGCTGGGGTTTCGATCTTTCTGTTATATTCTGCTGCTTTTTATCTGTAGGATCTTGGGCAGGAGCATCGGAGCCCACTTCTTCATCTTTTAAAATAGAATAAGGGTACTTGTCTCTTTGGGAAGGAAGTTCAAATTAAATAATACTTCTAGGAAGTGGTTTTTAACTAGTGGCAGATTTGTCCCCTTCTATTCCCCTGGACATTTTTGCTTGTCACACTGGGAGTTGGGGTGCTACTGGCCTCTGGGGGGTAGAGGCCAGAGATGCTACCAAACACCCAAAAGTGTGCGTGAGACAGTTCCCCATAACCACATATTATCCAGCCTCAGGCGTCTGTAATGCCACCACTAGGCTGGGCACTGTGGTTCACACCTGTAACCCCAAAACTTTGGGAGCCTGAGCTGGGATCCCTTGAGCTGGAAGTTTGAGACCAGCCTGGGCAATTTAGGGAGACCCCTATTTCTACAAAAACTGTAAAAATTAGCCGGATGTGGTGGCATGCACCTATAGTCGCAGCTGTTTGGTGGGAGGATTGCTTGACTCCAAGAGGATGAGGCTGCAGTGAGCTGTGATCGCATTACTTGTACACCATCCTAGGTGACGGAGAGACCCTGTCTCCAAAAAACCCAAAAACCCATGTTTGAGAAAACCGTACTTGCCATGGTGAATGTTGGTTGTTAGTAAGAAAGTGGAGGCCCTTTGCAGTTTCTTCTCTGGCCTGATCCAGGGGCCCCTCTTACTCCATGACGTTATGGGCGTATGGCTCATATCTATTATTGGTAATCAGATTTTTTAATCTCCTTCGAACTTTGGGAGTTGCTGAAAGCACCGTATATGTTATACAAGTCTAAAGTTTGTAACCTAAACATTAGCCTAACTAAAGGCAGGACTCACAGGGCTAAGAGAAACCCTTGGTCAAATTAGTGCAGCTGTCCTAGGGCTCTAAATAGGTGTAAATACATTGCCTGGGGTGGTTAAGTGTTCTTTTGTTAATGATTTCTGGGGAGAACCTCTCCCCTTGTAACAGCTTTTCACAGCTTTGTTGTTTACAAAGTCTTTTGTTTTTACCTGAATAGAAAGCTTCCTTTGTGTTTTGTCTGTGAACACATTGCCAGATCCTGCTTAGGCAGTTATTTGTGAAGTGCTTTATCCAATTTGTACCTTATCCAGCCTTCTTGCTAGAACACATGTGTTTCTCTAACGTATGCTTGAGTGCTAATAGTTTGGTGCTATGGAAACTACTCATATGTTATTTAGTTATTGGGGAGTAGAAGTAGTGTGCAAGAGGAGGCTAGGGTGACACCTGCCTGGCTTCAGCTGTGAAGTTTAGAAATACACTGATTAAGGTAGACTTTTTTCTCTCTCTTTACCACTGGATTTCTTAATCTGGGAGGTACTTGATGGAATTTAGCCTTTTTTTAATCCCTTGAAATTATAAACAGCATTTTGTGTGCACTTTTTCTTAAACATGTACCTTTTTCTGCAGTCAAAAGACAAACTTTCAACAAATTGAGTGTAAAGATCTAATTGGATTTTATTGGCGATTAACAAATTAGGTAGCACCCCATCTATAAAAAATAGAAAGGTGCCCCTTGGGCATGGCGGGACAGTTGGTTTTTTTTTTTTTTTTTTTTTGGAGACGGAGTTTCGCTCTTGTTACCCAGGCTGGAGTGCAATGGCGCGATCTCGGCTCACCGCAACCTCCGCCTCCTGGGTTCAAGCAATTCTCCTGCCTCAGCCTCCTGAGCAGCTGGGACTACAGGCACACGCCACCATGCCCAGCTAATTTTTTGTATTTTTAGTAGAGACGGGGTTTCACCATGTTGACCAGGATGGTCTCGATCTCTTGACCTTGTGATCCACCCGCCTCGGCCTCCCAAAGTGCTGGGATTACAGGCTTGAGCCACCACGCCCGGCGACAGTTGGTTTTTATAAAGTTGGCAGGAACAGGGGAACCACCCAGTACAAAAATGTGGGTTGTTTAGCATCAGGTTACTTGAGGTTAAATAAACCTCATTTCCTTGTAAGGGTTAGAGCAGAGGGAACCTCCTTATGCCAGCTCAAACTGCCTGTTGAGGGATTTGGGTATCTTATCTCCCGAAGGTAAGGTAAACAATTCAGAAGTTTAGCACGAGTGACTCCATTTTGATTTGGTCTGTTAGGGTCTAGGAGCTCAGTCCAAATCAGTGGCCTTCCAGAGATTCTATTTAACACTGGAAGGAGGGTTCATAGTGTGACAAGTGCTAGGGTAACTTGAGAGTATTGCTGAATCCTGGGAAGGGCCTGCACCCTAGATCTGATCAATTCCACAGTGTTAGAAACAGACCTCTTTTCTCAGAAATTAAGAATTTAGAAAAGTTCAAAGAATACAACTAAAGTTTTACAATAAAAAAGACATGGCTGGGCCGGGCGCGGTGGCTCAAGCCTATAATCCCAGCACTTTGGGAGGCCGAGGCGGGTGGATCACGAGGTCAAGAGATCGAGACCATCCTGGTCAACAAGGTGAAACCCCGTCTCTACTAAAAAAATACAAAAATTAGCTGGGCATGATGGTGCATGCCTGTAGTCCCAGCTACTCGGGAGGCTGAGGCCGGAGAATTGCTTGAACCCAGGAGGCGGAGGTTGCGGTGAGCCGAGATCGCGCCATTGCACTCCAGCCTGGGCAACAACAGCAAAACTCCGTCTCAAAAAAAAAAAAAAAAAAAAAAAAAGACATGGCTAAAATCCTATTTACCTCTTCTGCCAAGGGTCTTTTATGATTTTGGTGTATAAAAAGTTGGCACTTACAAAATGTACATGGTTATGTAATATAGCTTGTGTATTAAAAATTTAATAGTTTTGAAATTTTATTTTATATTGTGAAAGGAAAACAAATCTCGGGAACCCCAGATTACTAAGCCAAAGGGAAAAGTCAAGCCTGGAACTCTGTCAGGCAAACCTGCCTCCCATTTTTTCTTAAATGAGATAGCTACAAAAATAAAAAAGCGGCATACCTCTCTAACAGTTTAACCACAGGAAATTCCGAGATCAGGGTGTTATGGCTCTAGGCGCCGGGCCAACCCACAGGAAATTCCTTGTGGACAAAGGAGACAGAACTCAAAGCCATCCCTCTATTGACCTGAGACAAATGCATATCTGATTGCTGCTGCTTCCCTGTTGCTTCACTAAACCAGACTGAGTCATAAATGACTATTCCTCTGCCCTCCTCTCATGGAACTTCTATATTCAGTGAAAGGCTAATCAGAGACTTAATGCAACCGTTTGTCTGTTATCTACCTAACCTATGACCTGGAAGCCTCCTCCCCTGCTTCGAGTTGTCTAGCCTTTCCAGATCAAACCAGTGTGCATCTTAAGAGAGATTGATGTCTCATGTCTCCCTAAAATGGATAAAAACCAAGCTGTGCCCCACCGCCTTGGGCACATGTCATCAGGACCTCTTGAGGCTGTGTTATGGGCACGTCCTTAACCTTGGCAAAATAAACTTTCTAAATTGATTGAGCTGTCGCAGATACTTTTGGGCTCAGAATATTTACAGATCTACTTCAGCCCCAATCTAGCTGCTGCCTTTTGTTGCATAGTGTGAATATTTCACGTTTTATTTTTATATTTTCATAAATGGATATGTGGATTCTTTGTATGAGCAGAGCTCTGAATTTTTTTTATTTGCCTCATACAAGTTTGAATTGCAGGATTCGTACACATTTTAAGGATTACTGGTTATTCTTACCATTATTTAATATTATGAGACTTTAATTTCTGCAAAGTAGATGAATGCAAAATAACCAGTAATAATGTTTCCCAAATTAGCAGTGAAGTTTAGTTATTTTTAAAAATGAGTTTGTTGTCCATTTCAGTTTCTTCTCTGTAATTGCATATCCATTTTCTTTGTGCAGTTTTTGGTTGGATTTTTGATAATGTTTGTTCATACGGTGTGTACCTATATCGTTTATTATGTGTTGATTGAAATTTCATTTCCCAGTCTGTTATTGTCTTTTAACCTTGTTTATAGTAATATCTTATTCTGAAGAAGCATAGGACTTGAACTAAAGGTGGAGATTTTAAAGAACTGCATTCAGTATTCTTTACTAACAAGGAATTTGTGATTTACTAGTCTTTGCTTTTCTATCTTTTAAAGACATAGAAGTGACTGAAAAGGAATACTTACACATTAACTTTGATTAGTTTAATCTGTTCTACTGAAGAATATGTGTAGACAAGGGCAGTGATATAACGCTTATACTTGATAGTGTGGATTGGATAATTCAGACTGGGGTGACATCTTACACACACACACACACAAACACTCTCTCTCTCTCTCTCCCTCTCTCTCTCTGTCTGTCTTGGGCTTTGTCTGTAGGTAAGGATTAGGAGAATTTTTGCACATGCCTGAC